CCTCCCTCTCCCTCCCCTCCTTCCTCTCCTTCTCTTCTTTCTTCCTTCTCCTCCTGCTTTATTCTTGTTTGCTACTGCGGGACGCATTCTTCGTGCTGATCCCCTCCCCTCCTCCCTCTCCCTCCCCTCCTTCCTCTCCTTCTCTTCTTTCTTCCTTCTCCTCCTGCTTTATTCTTGTTTGCTACTGAGGGACGCATTCTTTCTTCCCCCTCCTTCCCGCTCGCTACCTTCACCTCCCCTCTCCTCCTCTTCTTTCTTCCTACTCCTCCTGCTTTATTCTTGTTTGCTACTGAGGGACGCATTCTTACTTCCCCCTCCTTCCTGCTCCCTACCTTCCCCGCTCCCTTTCCCGTCTTCCTCTATCGTTACTATGTTTCTTGTGTCGCAGGAGAGAAGAGTTACATGGTGACGTTGGAGGTGGAGCACCTGACGCGATGCTTCAGCCACCTGAGGGACGACTTCTTCGTGCTGATTCCTCCCCCTCCTTCCCACTCGCTACCTTCCCCTCCCCTCCTTCCCGCTCCCTCCCCTCCCCTNACTTTTTGAGGGCAGGGAGTCCGTCCGTTGGACTCCCGTGTTCAAAAGTTAGTTTCTACCCCTGAGCAAGAGTTGAGCTGCGCCCCGTAGAGACGGTCTTCCTGCCGTAACAACTAAACAATTGTTTGACCTTCTGAAGGTCGTTGACCCGATGGCTGCTCTGTGCCGCAACCTGTGAACTTTCTCTGCTTTTCCTAGGGTTTGTGTTTTCCTCCATCCTAGGGTTTGTGTCTTCCTTCATCCTAGGGTTTGTGTCTTCCTCCATCGTGTCTTCCTCCATCCTAGGGTTTGTGTCTTCCTCCATTCTAGGGTTTGTGTCTTCCTTCATCCTAGGGTTTGTGTNCTTCCTCTATCGCTACTATGTTTCTCTTGTCGCAGGAGAGAAGAGTTATATGGTGACGTTGGAGGTGGAGCATCTGACGCGATGCTTCAGCCACCTGAGGGACGACTTCTTCGTGCTGATCTTCTACACGACGCCGTGGTCGGGTCTGATGATACGCGAGCGGTTGAACATGAAGGACATGAACGGTCCGATGTACGACCCGGGTAGCGCAGGTACGTGCGTGTGTGCGTGTGCGTGCGTGTGTGTGTGTGCGTGCGTGCGTGTGTGCGTGCGTGCGTGCGTGCGTGCGTGCGTGCGTGTGTGTGGTCCGGTCTGATGATACGCGAGCGGTTGAACATGAAGGACATGAACGGTCCGATGTACGACCCGGGTAGCGCAGGTACGTGCGTGTGTGCGTGTGCGTGCGTGCGTGCGTGTGTGCGTGCGTGCGTGC